AATGGAACCACAACCCCGACACAAACTCCTTCACCGTCAACAATGGCTTGACTCTTCGCACAGCCACAGTGACAAAGGACATCTATCAAGCCCGCAACACTCTCACCCACAGAACCCACGGTAGCCGACCTGTCGGAACTGTCAAGATCGACTTCTCCAAGATGAAAGATGGCGACCGCGCTGGTCTCTCTGCCTTCCGTGATCAGAGCGCTTACATCGGTATTCATCGCACGAACGGACAGTTTACTCTGGCGACCAAGCATGGTATGAACATGGATGAATGGGATGGCAAGACAACTGCTATGGGTGAGGTGAAGGCCACTGCTGCTGTGCCTTCTGGAAGAACCGCAGTTTGGCTTAAGGTCCAGATGGACACTGACCCCGCGGGCACTGGGAGCACAGTCTTCTCTTATAGCTGGGATGGATCCAAGTATGAGACGCTTGGACCTAACTTCAAACTTTACAATGGGTGGGCTTTCTTTATTGCGTATCGCTTTGGTATTTTCAACTATGCTGAGAACTCTCTGGGAGGATCAGTCAAGGTGGAGTCATTCACTGCAGCATAAATAGTTGTACAGAATACAGAGAATTGTTCTTTCTGAATCACTCAGGGCTTAGGGTTTAGTGATATTCACTATCTATCTGGTCCACCTTGAAAACAATACCATCGTCGATCTGCAACGCCTGGCATACCCAACCCATGGCCCTTAGTCTCTCCCATGGCGCGTTAGGATCATGAGTCTTTACTTCGACTCGGAAGCCATCTGGACCCTGCCAACGCGCTTCGAATCTACCTTCGCCATATATGTCTGTGAGTGCCTCGAACATCTTCTGGTTGTGAGTGACCTGTGAAGTCTCGATGACGTATGTATAAAAGAAGGGTACTGGGCGTCGCACCTCCATCTTTGAGCTAAATTCTGGCTATTATAGTAAGATATACAATGGTTTGTGTGTTGAGATAATGTGAAGGGAGACAGGGTCCAGGCGGGCACAGGTATTTATACTCCAGGGGGTTTAATTCTATTCTGATTCTATGATGTTTTACGGAAGATATTTCTGTGATGTTGAAACTGTTGCTGGTGCCATGCCTTTACGCTGCTGTGCTTACGGTTGCTCTAGCAGTGGTCAGGTGCCCTACACGTTGCTGAACCGAATCCGAAAATATCTTCCTGTGTAGAAGAGATTGCATATCACCAGGGAAAAACATTATCCATGTCGTCGTGTCAGCTATCATAAGAAGAGCACATGGATAAATAATCAGCTAATAACAGAAGACTTGGCTTCCATAGCTTAGGCTGCTATAATCAACTGGCCTAAGTGATGGTCCAAACTAGAACAAGGTAGCTACTTTCATTCTTTATGTCTCCAACAGCCACGCCACATGAACGCCATGTGTTACGAACTTTTGAACACAAAGCGTTATTGATTTCAACTGAACGACAGTCACAACAGAATATTGACACTCCACTTGTGGTGTACTAAGTTACTAACACTGATGAGCGCTTAAGCTTACAGCCCAGAGATTGACAACTTAGCTTTAGAACCAAGCCATATTTGCTTGTCCTTTAGTACTGCAACAGGCATAAGGTCAGAATAGGGCTGTGGTTTTGATTAACATACGGTATAGAGCTTCCTCATATCATATGAAAAGGACGTATCACAATTCTTCCTTCAACCCTAGTGCACCGAGAAAGGTAGTCAACCGACCACACAGCCAACGCTCACCGTTCATGGCCTAGGACTCGCCGCAGATACTACTAGCATTCCATGTGTGTTCATTTCAGATGACTCACAATAGCCTTGTTTTGGACTTTATTGAGTTTAAATTGCATCATGAAAAGTACGTGTTAATCGACAATTTATATGTTTTAAAGTAATCTTTTTCTCAGTACGTATCACTGGGCGTCTTATCTCCCAATACGATACTAGCAAACCCGAAATAACACTCATACCTCAACCATTGGCGGACCTAAGAGTGTGTATTCTGAGTTTCTTGAGTTTCTCCACTTCATTGTCAATTTCCGGGATGCCACTATTTTTGATACCGCGGGTTACCTCGAGCGAGACGACGTCAACGACAGGGGCCCTACACACTATCCTTTAGCGGCCAGTCCATCTCCTCAGCGTATTCAGCGATTGGTATGTTCTTTCCGATGAGGAGTTCAGAAACCCCCAACTCCGATTTTGTCGAGATATTGGAGTCAGTTGTTATTACTGCGATGCAGTCATTTTAATTCTGTTTATTATGGTCTACCACTTCCCTTATGCAATAGACCGTAAAACTATACTGCTATTTCCCTTCGCTATTTGAATAACCTTCATGCGTAATTACATCCCTGTTGTGACGTTGGTCAGCCTGCATATTGTGAATACGCAGCTGCCTCGCAGCCTCGTTTCCGGATCATCTTCCCCTCATCTCACAAAACACTCGTAATCAACTATGGCGACCGGAATCGAGGCACTTGGAGCTGTAAGCGCTGTGTTTCAAGTCATTTTGTTCTCTGCCGAAGCTATCGCCCTATGCAAGAAGATCTACGATGGCAAGCCGACTGCTAATGACGACCTTGAGGGCCACGCTACTCGTATGTCAGAGGCTATCAGCAGGATTGAAGATCGATGCAAAGCATTACAAACAGGTCAACAGGCTACGGAAGCAGAAATGAAACTGAATGAAATTGCCAAAAGCTGTTGACTTTCCGCACAAGAATTGCAGACTGAATTTCGTTTTGTAACGGACATGCAGAGAAAGGGCAATGTCATCAGTGCACTCAAATCTGCGCTCAGGGCATCAAGCCATCGGAAAAGGATTGACCGTCTAGAACTAGCACTTTCTAGACATAGACATGTGATGGAAACGGAGATGCTGACTCTGATATGGTATGTGGTCTCTCGGTATATCCACTCCTTTCTGCTCACGGTATTTTATAGCTCTCAAGGTGATGCACAGCGGATACGGCATGAATCATCTTTCCGCAATCTGGGCAGTGATGTCCAGACTCTTGTAGTGCAGATCGCTCAAGGGTACATCAAGCTGGAGGACTTGATGCGCGTAGAGCATCAGGAAACAAGAGACATGGTGATTCGACAAACAGCCGATACCCAAAAAGCTATCAAAGATCACATTACAACTGACGTACAACGTAAAGAATTCCCTCAGAGTTTGAGGTCACCAGAGATGAAGAAACGGTATAAAGACCTCATAGACTCGAGCGAATCAACCTTTTCTCGCGTCTTCGCCTCTTATGATAGGGTGGCTACAGTTGATGGTGACGGGACTAGTCTTTCGAGTTTAGAAAGCAGCGACTCCGATGAGAGCGACGACAGCTCCACTGGCGATCTCAGCTCGCTCCACTTCAGGGATGAACACATTGACGAGGCCTGGGCTAGCTTTGTCAAATGGTTGCGGTCGGAAAGCTCATTATTTTGCATTCAGGGCAAGCCCGGATCTGGAAAAAGTACCCTGGTCAAATTCATTATTGACAATCCAAATACCAAGGCTCTTCTCTGTTAGCATTCACAAGGAACTTTCATCCTGCCACACTTCTTCTGGAAGATTGGGGCCTCTTCCCAAAATCGCATCAAAGGATTATTATGCTCTCTGATTTATCGAATGTTAGTTGGAGCCAAGATCTGTTGGAATTCGCGATGGGCCGCTGCGATCTTGAGTCTCATAGACATTATCACGACTGGTCGGAGAGCACATTAAGGACCATGCTCTTCTACCTTTTTGAGGCAACAGAGCACAGTCTGTGCGTTTTTATTGATGCTCTTGAAGAGATCTGTAGCTCAGATGGTGTTTCAAAGCTTACAAAGTTGATCGATGATATTCTAGTCTTTCCTGATATCAAGATCTGCGTCACCGGTTGTCCGGAGACTCTGACTGTCTATTGGCTCAAGAGGCAATCTGCCTCCAATATCTCGCTGGGGAATCTCACACGCCCTGAGATGAGTATCTATGTACGAAAGAGCCTGAAGCCATTTCGAGTCCAAAACATGATTTCTCGCAATACGTTCTTTGAAATACTATACGTGCTGATTGATAAGGCTCAGGGCGTATTCTTGTGGGTTCATCTGTCTTTAAGGAACCTGAAAATCGGGATCGAAAGCGGTGACACGGATACTATGCTCATCAAACGACTAAAAGGACTCCCCGGCGACCTAGAAAATCTTTATGCTAGTCCATGGCTGCACCTAAACATTGATAGCCCAGTATACCGTGATATTGCCATCAGATACTTTCGATACGCTCTTCAAAAGACGCCAGGAACGCTTCTTTGCGAGTCGATGGAGAACCCAAATGTCCTTGAGCATGCCACAATTACTCAGCCTACGTTAGGACAGATCATGTGTGCAGAGACGCCGGAGTTGAGGAATGCCATCCTCCGGCGAGGGAGTAGGCTAGACGCGGTTACCATAAGTCGCGATTGCACGAAGATCAAACGAGCCCTCGAGACGAAGTGTGCGGGGATGTTGGAGGTGAGACCGGCTATCACGCTCTTTGGCCGACGTCTTGTGCCAAAGGATGAGTCCAGTTTGATGTGGTGGCGCGTCGACTTCATCCACCGCACCGCTCATGTCTTCTTGACCGATACGGAGATTGGCCATACCATTATGCAAGGTCACAATACCCCTCAACTTGAAACAGCTACAAAGTTACTGGAAGGCCTTCTTGCTATCTTTTGTTTTCTTCACTCCCAGAAAGGACTGCCAGGACCGGCCCTCGGACTACTGAACCAGGTCAATGAGTTGGCTGAGGATCATGGCATCCAAGGGGTTCGAGAAGCTATTTCTATGTTGCCACTGGTTGAGGAGATGTACAGGAATGACATTATAGGTGACAGCCATTGGTATATGCCCAAACCGCAGTTTCTAAGCCTCCTAGCTCGAGACACCAACTTTCATAGTTTCGTACTGTCTGCCATAAAGTCATCGCCTTCAGAGCCCTCCCCTACAGACGTTCTGAGAGATTTCCTTCCGGAGCTTCGCACCCAAATAAGATTCGCTAGCCGAGACAGCACCGCCATTTGGTTTGGCTTTATGCAACAACTCGTGGCAATGGGTGCTAGCTTATATACCAATGAATTAAATCGGCATTCTTCACATAGCACGGCTGTACTGGGCGAACCATTCGTTTGTATCAGTACGAATTTTGTTAGTCTACCGGAGACTGGATTGTTGTTATCAAATCCCCTCTATGGAAACACGCTCGCTTCCCCAGTCCGAAAATCTCTTCGCCTCCTGACCAACTACGCTTTAACCTTGGCAGAAACCTGCCCTGATCTTGTTAGACCACTGCTTGTTCGTATCACAGTGGAAAGACTGGTGGGCGACATCGATTTTGTTGAGTAGGAAACTTGTCGACACAGAAGCCTGGACAGTTCGCCTTACTAGTGGAAACAAAACTTAGCTTTGTCCTTCCCCATATTCTTACCACGGCTAGACCTATCTCTGATGATGGAGTGGTTACTCAGATTGACGAGCTACTCAACAAACTACGCAGACCAACGCCAAAGCTCCGACTCGTTATGTCTCGAAAAGAGCCCTCAACCTTGTTGTGTGAGCGTGTAGGGTATCAGCAATCCCACCTCGAGATGATGGAGATCCTTTTCCATGTAAAGTGCGTTCCAAGGTGGCTTGATGTCACTGAACCATATACCAAAAAGGTAGAAGAAGCAATGAAGATATGGTCTCTGACGAGAAGCTTGGACTTGGACGTTATGGATATAGAAGCTGCATTAACTTCCTTTGCTGGCGAGGATCTCGGGATCCGCACATATCCTCAAGCCAACATAATTCCTTCCGAAGCGTGGTTGGAACGTCGTGAGGGAAATCTCCAGTGGCAATTCCATCAGATATTGCAGGAGCTGAGGGCTTTGTCCGCTGATAGTAAGAGGTATAGTTAGTTTCTTGCTGGCTGCCTTTCGAGAAGAGTCATAATTGATACAGAGTTCCGAGATTTGAAAAGAATGCATATAAAGTATAGAGATATTCCATATCGAAAACAAGAGCTGAAATCAACCAACGAGCGTAGGCAAAGACTCTTGATCACCATTCGCCAAGGATCAAGTCTTTTAGTACTTCATCCTCCCTCTGCGCACATCAAACGTATCCTTATGACTGGCAACAAGTCCAACAATTACCCTAGACCTTCACGTTAGTGTATAACTCTTGAACCTGATACGAAATCTCTCACCTCTTTCTTACTATACTGCGCAATTGTTAGTGATTTGCTTGCTAACACAATAAAGAGCTTTTACTTACCCAGGTCTCGGGGCACTGATGCTCCTCGGGCCAGCACATCAGCCAGCAAATATCCCATTTACCTCCGTGATGCATCTTTTCAATGGGCGATTGTGAAACTTTGATGGAAAGGCTATTACGAGTCAGTAACGTGAACCTTTCAAGAACATGGATAGAAATCGGTAGGGTAAATCATGGTGCCAAACAGACAATAGCTAAGGAGGCTGTCACTTACGTGATGTCCTCGGCTGAGTCAGGAACCTTGACATTGGCATTTTTGTGGCGAAATTGGCTCAAAAGAGATGGGGCGGCAGTGATGCCCTGGGCAAGAATGAGAAGAGTGGTAGTGGAGTACTTCATGACTGCTATTGACAAGACGGCGAAAGGATGTACAGAATCGTGAGGATGATGCTGGAGAAGATCTGTTCATGATTATGGGCGACATAGCAGTTTATATAGACAGTTCTCAGCTTTGTTCAACCTTTGGACGACAGTCAATCGGTCTGGATGACAGGTAGCAATAGCAATGCCTATTCCATATCAAACGGTCCTTGTGTGAATGAGGTTACTTGTTCAGACAACTGTCCTGTGTATGACGGAACGGAACAGCCTACGCGTCAACTCTGGTACAGTTCCAGTATTCCCTGGTGGCTTGGCGTCAGGGTGTCAAAAGAATTGGCCG